GCGCGCCGCGGCGTTGCAGTTGGGGTGGCACCTGGGCGCCGCCTCAGACGGCCCCCCCCCGCGACTACTGCAGGTGGTACCGCGTCGAAGAGTACTTTGTTATGGGGCTCACTTCAGATACCGCCGCCCAAGTACAAACGTGGATCCCGATTAGCAGGTATCCCACAGCACTGCTTGACGACGGACACCGCAGCGTTGCCGAGTGAGCAACGCTGCCTATTTTCTTGGCGCGGGACATGAACGAGGCCGGCATCGCGAGCACGCAGGAAATGCTGAATCAGCACGCTACAACACCACATCTTCACGTACAATATCGATATGAACCTGGGCGAGGGGCTGGGCGCCCCCCTGTTGGAGCGATGCAAATATGGCCCCGCCGAACAGAGAGCTCAACTGACTGCAATGGGGCGCGGATGCGCGGACCTCGACCGACCGGCAAAAGGGCCCCGCATATTTATTCTTAGCCAGCGAGTCGCGGCCTCATCTCCGAGGTTCGGCCTTGACCAATCCACGTTACACCGACAACAAAATCGACTACACAGACATGCTTCGCACGGGAGGGGAACCCGCGGACCACCTCGGTGATAAACATCTTGATTACCTTGCTGTCAGTGCTTGGAATGGACCGATCAAGACCGTAGCGAACGGGATGCCGTCACACTCAAACGCTCTTTCTTCGATTTCTCAAGGCATCGCATCAGCGAGTGAGAAGGCGCCGCGCTCGGCCAGACGCCGGCGGAAAGACGCATCCACGGAATGGGCATCTCAAGTTTGCTCGGCGGCGACACCCCACCTCAATCAAGCGCCGCCGGCGACGGCGACGCCAGTGGAGGTTATGCGTGATCTGTGGCAGCAGCAATGGTGACGGCCCCCTTGCCTTTGTCACGTCCGCTGCCACAGGCACCGTTCTGGCTGCCCTTCTAGCTGTTCGCGTCAGAACCAGCCGCGGAATTTGGCTCGGCCACGTTGGCCGCAGCGGGCTCAGCTCGCTTTTGAGTGCGATATCACGTCTGCCCCCCCGCTCTTTCCGCGGCCCCTTCCCGCCTGTCCCGTCTCGCAATCTCGTCGGGCGTCAATTTCCTTTGCTGCCGACAGCTGGGCGGGTCATTCTGGTAACCTCTGCATTTGTCTCGCGAGAAAGCGCGGCAGGCCATCTTATCCTTCTGCTCTCCTGCGGGAGACGTTGACGAATTCTTCAATCCTTCGGGGCCAGGGGTGATCGACCGATCTCTGCGGCCTTTCCCCTTGCCCCTGCCTTTCTGGGGCGCGTCGCACCCCCCCATCCGACCCGGCGCGCGCCCTGATCCGAGCTCGGCTTCGCAGCCGGCTGAGCTGGTTCCGGAGCGGGAGCGGCTGTAGGTTCCTAATGGTCGAGTGGGCACCCTTGGTCCTTGCTTGGGCTGAGGCCGCCTTTCAGCGCATATTTGCAGATTGCATATTGCTTCGCTTGTCCATCGTGGATCGCGCCCGCGGGCTTCCCCGACGACTGTTCGGGATAGATGGGGCCTGGCGCGGCGGATTTAATCTCGCATTTTCCGCTATGTTCACGCGACTTCCCCCGCCGATCCAAGGTGAACTCGTTCGGGTCTTTCGCCGTGGATTTCTGTAATCGGCGAAGCGACCGCTCACTCGTGCAATGTTCCGCCCGTTCCACTATTTGCACTCGTCATTTCGCGATGTATGTGCCCGTTGCATCTTCATGACAATCTTCAGTTGAACGCAAAGATGCCAATGAATTTCCGCAGCCATCTAAACGGAAGGTTGGGAACCCCCGTAGAGATCACGACGCCGAGACATCCATTCGCGATAGAAACGCATGTCCCCCTCGGGCTGATCAACAAAAAATACCACCTTGCACACGTCTCACACAACCGCGTTCCGACCGTGCTCCGTATGAACAGATAGCCACCCGCATCATCTCTCGTTCTGTGAGTAAGCGCCGTTTTATGCGCATCGTGCCCCGCCCTGGAAATCTGCGCATGCGATGTCTGATGTGGCAAGGGAGACTTCGCCTGTCGCATCTGGGGCAATTTCTCCGTCAAGTCCGAGGCAATCATCATGTCGAACCGCTAGTACTTGAACATTTGAATATTTGCATCAGGGCCCAACACTTGAGCAATCCAGAAGATTTCCCTTTCACATCGGGGGTGTTGATGATATTGCTCGCGTCGCGTGGAGCTTGCATTCACGATGTCCTGTTGGGCCAGTGGGCATTCCCTTGATGGCCACCGTTCTGCCTGCCTGCTTCCGAACTTAAAGAGGGATGGGTCACGGGTCAGACATCGCCCCGATGGCCGCCACCTCCGTCTCCACCGCAACCGCACGGCCTCCCTCCTCCGCCGCCCCCGCCCCCAGCCGAGCCGGGAGGGGCCGGCGCCGGGCCGCCGCCCGAGCCCGAGCTGCCGGCGGCTGAGTCGGAGGGCCCTTCGGACGCGTCGGGCATTGCGGACGAAAGATCCTCTGATGGTTCGAGAAGTTCGAGAAGCAACGGCACTCCAATGCTTCGTCGCTCCAAGTATTCGCGAGAACTCAAATCAATATCTTTCGACGCTGGAGTTCTCGCTGAGTCAATTTTCTCTTCGCACTGCAGTGCCTCCTCGAACTCCTTCTCCCTCTTTGCGCGCGCTCGCAAGACTAGCCGCGCGTGCCCCCACTTCCCATTGTTGAGATCTCGCACCCCTCCTCCTCCTGACTTTTCTTGCCAACTTCCGCCGCGGCTTCTGACTTCTCTCGAGCGCATAGCTAACGTCGTTTAGACACGGGGCCAGTGTGACTTCCAAAGCCTGGTTTGGCGCATTGGGCGCAATTGACCATCGTTGATCTTTGGCAGAATATTCGCATTTGCGCGCCTCCCGGGGCGGCGGCAACCGGCAATTGCGGCACTTTTTTCAAAATCTAATGCGTCGGGTTTCCCAGCGTGGAAGACTGAGCCTGTAACGCTGGCCCACTCGACCCACCGCCTACAGAGAAAGGGGCGCCAATTCTGGTCACTGCGGCGATTGAACGCGCAGCAGCATCGTCGAGAACCGCGGATTGAATCCGCGGCGCACATGACATCGCCAGTCCGCCTTGACCCATCGGGCCCTGCGCTCCCAAAAGAAACTCAAATTAGTACGTGCTTCCCCCAGTCTGGCAAGGTCCTCGGCAATCTTGCCCATTTATGCTGTCATCTTCCTTGCGTGATCATCGGCGGCGCGCTCTCGAGGAATCGCCAGTTGGTCAGCTGCCGGCGCCCCTGCGTTCTTGTGTCGAACCAGAGCAACTGCCTGAGCCGCACTTTCACGCATCGCATATACCGCCGACCGACAAGAACTCTCTGCCTCCATTCCCGCCTGTCGTCGCAGCATTTGATGTATCTGCATGTCATTCAGCTAATTCCCCCACGGCGTGGCTGATTAAATCAAGCACTTTTCGTTATGCAGACTATTCCAACTCCTCCTTGTGGCATTCGGGCTCAACCAGAGACAGCTGAGCTGCCCCCGACGCAGCGTTCCATTCTACATGGGCTTGTTGCGCGGCCTGGAGGAAAGCGTCTTTTTCATGATGCGCATCCTTTGGACTTTGGATCGCGTAGGCTGGCGCAGCCAGTTCTTCGCGACATTCCCTTTCTGTTTGGCGTCTCTCTCCCCTGCCCTCTTCTGTGCCATTTCAGGAACGCAAGGTAACGACAAATATGCTCTTTCATGCCAACGCATCCCGAACGCAGCCAATTCATACTACAATGCCGCCTACGTGCGAGCAGCCTCCACACGCGGGCCAAACAGCATGGACCGCTGACGGTATTCGCCCTGGCGCATACGTTTTCGGCGGATGGGCAACATCGAGGTCCTCAGGCCCACCGACCTACTTTTATTGAGAAACGCCCCGAACAGGATCCATGGGACCCTTGACAACTCCTTGACCGCGCACGCAGTCTAGATGCCAATGGCGATCGAAAAATCGGCCTCCGAATGCTTTCGCGCGGGGGTAGCACTGAAACAAACATTGTCCTTTCAGTTTCTTGCGTGGCGGGGCGCAATTGATCGCCGAGGAATGTCCAGCGACGCTGGAAAGTGGCATCGGGGAGTCATGTTCCATGCTTATGTCGCGGGGAATGTTTGGACGCTGTGTCCCTGGCGTCTCCCCTGTGCTGTTTCTCGCGTGTTCTGCCTGGGACACGCCCAGTGTCTTCTGTTCTCTGAAGGATGAAATGTCCGAATTCCAGTCGTCGTCTTCCACTATGGCAGCGGGTCGCGGCACAATTTCTCTTCCCATCCACTTATTGGACCAGTGCCGAGAAACTCTCTTCCACTGGGACAAAAGGGTCGTCAATCAAAAATGGCGGGGACACATGGGGCAATAGAACCGAATGCGTCACCCATTGGAGTCTTTGGGAAATCTCGTGCGGTCTCGAATGGTACAAGCAACTTGACATCGCTGTCTACAGTCATTTGGACGTCATATGCAATAACAGAATTTTCGGCTGGTAGCCCGGCATTTGCCAAAAGAACGCGGTCCCCGGCGAAACTGGGGTATGAATATGACGCAAATGTATCGGTCTCATCGCTCATGATGGGTTTCTCCGCAATGCTTGCAGTAATCCGTTACGTAAGCTGTGAATCAATTATTGCAAAAGAACAAGATAGGGAGGGGGAGAAACGACGACGAATACCCTCAACCTTTCCACGCGTTCGCACGCGGGCCCGCGGCGCCCGCACTGTGCCAGTCTTGTCCTGTAGTACGCAACAGCTGCGGCGGGCGGCGGCAGAGAGCGAGCGGGAGGAGAGGTTGAACAACTGGGTCGGAAGCTCTGTTTTTAACACCTAGCATCTCCCGACCTGTCCGGCGGGGAACAGCTTGGTTATGTTCACTGGGGACCTCCCGGAACTCTTCGTGGGGCCATCTTGGGGTGCAGGGCTCGGAGTGCGAGTTCGAGTTCCCACACTTGGTGTCGTCTTGGTAGTCTCGAGCGCCATCTTGAGACCCTCCTGGGCCGCCCTGCAAGCCCCTCGGGGGCCTCTCGGGCTGTCTAGAGGCGATATGTCGGGACGACTCTTTGTCTGCCGCGGGCGTCGAACTAACTACTCAACATCGCCAAAAAATCCTCTGGAGGCGCCAGGCGCCGCGGATCCTGCGGGGACGGATGCCGGCTGACGTGCCCATGCAACGCCTCGTGCCCTCGCAAGCGGCTCCTGCGACCCCGACGGTCCTCAGCGGGTGGCTCCACGGCTTGGCCGGGAGCGACGGCTGTGGCCATGCAGTGTGGGCTACCTTGCCCCGCGTCAAAGGCGTGACCTTAACAAGTCAGGTCCGCTTGAGGTCTCCCAGTAAGATGCACCGCTGGGGGTGAGATCGAATGACGTGCGTGCTCCCGTATCCCTGAACTGCCATCGTGAACATCTTCATCACGACAGCAGGCAAGAGTCGCACCGCTTGCGCAGAGAACCTGAACCAAAGATGCGGGCCGCCGCGGCCATGGGCTACCCTGGCAAGGCGAAGCCAGGACGAGGATACATCCGGGTGGGGATAAGCTGAGAATCCTGAGATCAGGCGGCTCTGGAGGATGCCTCAGGCGCCGCGGCCTTCACGGAGCGATGCGAACGCTCTGAGAGCGTTCCGGAACGCTCTGACACGGATCTCTCCCAGACATACGACGTTCTGATTTTTTCCGCACGGGGTCCCTGGAAGTCCAGATCCCTTTCCTGGGACCCGTTTTTCGTACTGAATCGTTGTTTGACGCTCTCGAGGCCCGGCGAGGGCCCCCAGGGGCCGAAAACAATGAAAAACTTGCCGTCAACGCAGTCATGCCTGGGTCCTCGTCCCAGCTCCACGCAGCCCCACCTTGAGGCCAGGACGCCCCAGGCCGTGCGGCGATCGCACTGGGCTCGAAAAACTAGCGAGCGAGGCCCTCGCCATCGGCTGCGGACGCCGGTCAAGGGCCGCTGGCGAGCGTCCTCTCCCGGGTGCTGCCAGAGGTGCCTCCCCCGGCTCTGTGTGCCCCAGGATCTCCAGGGAGGCTCGAGCGGCCTCCAGTGCATCCCGCACGAGGTCCAGATGGAGCACCCCTCACGAGGCCCAGGTGGCCCCAGGGGGCTTCAACATGGAGCAAGAAGCGGGGGGCGCCTTGGCCCAGGGGCACATTTTTCTGGGTGACCCAAAAGGGGGTCCAGCTGAAGGGGGTGGTGCAATAGATTTGGGGCAATTGTATTGCAAATCTGTGTTCGCAGGAGAATTGTATTGCATTGCATGGCAAGTAACGTATTGCACGCGAGAAGCCAGCAATACATTTGCGCCCCGGAATGTATTGCACGCCCCAAATGCATTGCAACCCCACAAATCTATTGCACCAAATCTATTCTGGGTAGTCGGAGCCAATCTGGCGCCAATCTGGCAGGCCCAATCTGGCAAACGGGGGCAATCTGGCGAGGGAGCCAACGCGAATCCAGTCTGGCGAATAACCCAAATCATCCAGTTTGGCCGGGCCAGATTGGCCCTTGGGGCCCAATCCAATCTGACAGTCTGGCCTTCGACTACCCAGCTATTGCACCACCCCCTTGTCGCTGGACCCCCTTTTGGGTCAACCCGAATTTTGCAACCCCCGACCCGTGTGCGCCGAGCGGGGGTTGGCCGCCGCGGCGTCCGGCCGCCGAGACTGCCTCGCCCGAGGCGGGCTCGTCTCACAGGAGGCCCTCTACGGCGTCGGGCCCTGGCTGTCGCTGCGTGGGGGCTTCGAGGCGTGTATCCTCGGCGACAGCAGCGCCTCTCTGTCCCCGCCGGGAGACGAGAAGATGAACGCGTGAAGGTCGTGCAGGGACGACCAGTCCGCGGACAAGCGCTCGAAGTCGAAGAGCTGCTGCTCCTCCCAGTCGCTTCGCTTCTTCAGCCCGGCCTGCTCGATGCTCGTATTCTCTACCTGTTCGAACACCAGCGTGTACTTGCTATTGTTGTCGGGGAAGGGCTGCAGCCCGAACACCTTCAGGAATATAGCCTTTGTCCGCGCCATGTGGAACTCGTTCGTGACAACAACCAAGGATCTCGCGAAGTAGATCTCCGTTTGGTTCGCGCGCAGGAAGTACGCGTTGCCCATAGTGTCTAGGCTCAGGTCGTCGGCGATGATGTCCGAGGCTTTCACGCCCGCCTTCCTCAGGAATTCGGCGGAAAGCTGGGACTCCAGCCTCTTCGCCCTGTTGCCCCGGGGATCTCGCGGGCTGTACCGAATGCCTTCGCACATCGTCACGAGGTAGGTGGTGGAGGTGACCTGGACCGAAAATTATCGAACCAGACATGGTTGGAGCTCCGCGCGGATTTTTTTGGATCGGCGATGGATCCACCCTCCCTGGCGCGCGGAGCGCGCCAGGGGCGGCGCCAGAGGCGCGATCAGGTGGGTCCAACGCCGACCTAAGCAATCCACGAAGACACGTGACAAACTTCTGCTTAGTTGACTATGCAGATTGTTCTCCTTCGACACCTGCTGCTGCCTCTTCACCTCGTTCACCTCGTCGTAGATCTCCTTCGCCCTGCGGAGGCGCCCTTGCACCCAGGGCACCAGCGAGCCGTCCCTGCTGATCCCGCCACCGGGGATCACGATGACGTCTGGGGGGTTCTGCACCCAGCGCGGGTCGAAGCTGGTCCTGTAGCCCTCGCCCCTGGAGGTGTTCCCGAGCGTGAACAGGACGATGCCTATGACGGAGAAGCCGATAACGATGGCGCTGACGACGACGGCCGTGGACGGACCGTGGGCGGATGCCTTCTCGCTGCTCCCCTCGCGCGCCACCAGCTCCTCGGACGCTGCCGACGAGATGGTGATCTCACCAGTCACGCAGCACGCCTTCACGCCCGCGTCTGACTCGAAGGAGCCCTGGACGGCCTCCCGCAGCGCCTCGAGGTCTGCCTGCCTGTCGGAATCGATAAACACGTCCACGAGCACGGAGCCCTGCGCGAGGACGACCGCCACCTGCGCAGCGTCGACGCCCGCTGCTGCGGCCACCTTCTCCTGGCACGCACCTTGCAGCCGCTCGATATCGGGCGAGCCGAGCGCAGCGAAGTCGACGTGGCCGACGACGAACGAGGCGGCAGGCGCTCTGAGCTCCGGCGCCAGCGCCGGCGCCGAAACCGGCGCCGTGCCCTCCGGCGTCGGCGCCGGAGTCGGCGCCGACGTGTGGAGCAACAACGCGTGCTTGTGAACCATCCTGGAGACACTGGAAGTGCCACTGTGCTCGAAGTAAAAGGGGTAGGCCAAGTGGAGCTCGCAGGTGTCACCGCCGCTCGTCTTGATGCTGGTGATCATGTTCATTTCGTAGTGCCCGTCCTCGCTGGACAACTCGATCTCGTCGCCCACGTGGAAGTCGCGGCAGCCCTCTCTCAGCGTGACCACGTTGCCGCCCGCCGCACTGGCGCTCTGCACGCGCCTCGTGAGGCGCGCGAACTGGGCCGTATCCGTGGCGTCGTGCTCCGCCAGGACGTCGGCCGTGGGCGGCAGCGAAGCCAGCGTCGCGCCCTGCTGGTGCGAGAACTGGAGGCCGTTGTACAGCCGCAGCGTGCCGGTCTCGACGTACACGCGCTCAATCCTGTGGAGCTCCTCGAGGGGAGTCCCTGGCTCCAAGATGAGCATGTGGTCCTGCACGCAGTGGGCCCTGGAAGCGGCAGGGCTGTTCTTTCACCGTCTCCGAAAACGTGTCTCGTGTGGAAGCGGCAACGAAAACGGCGATCGGAACCAACAGCAAAAAACGGCTCCAGGCTTGAACCGGAGCCGTGACCGGAAAGACACCTGCGACGGAACCGACAGAAAGACGGCATTGGAACTGGCAACAGACACGGCCACATGGAACCGGTCAAAAACGGCCCTGTCGCTTGCAGGGCTCACTGAGGTCCTGCATTAGGTCGGGCGTGTCCCCCTTCAGGCGGAATTGAGGAAAATTTAAAGATAGTCCAAACATACTAAAAACTGATCCAACATAGTTGGAAAATCGTCCCCACTAGTGATTTACTATTTTTGAATATTCCTCCTGCAGAGGGGCAAGCACGACTTGAGTCCTGCACCATTATGCTGGCGTTCTCCGCGGACATGTGGACGAATGCCTGCCCCTCGAGCGCCCTCTGGGACAGGCGTGCGCTGCACCCCCCGTCCTGCTGGGAGGGCAGGTCGCCCAGCACCAGGCTCACGCCGCTTCGGATCGCCTGCGAGGCCAGCCGCCGCGTGGTGAGCAGGGCGGCGACGGCGCCGAGCACGACGACGCACGCCACGAGCGCCGTCGAGGGGCGGCCCAGCAGCCCCGCGAGAAATGCGCTCCGCCGCTTCCTTGGGAGGAGGAAGTCCTCCTGCGACGACCCGAACTCGAGCTCCCTCTCGGAGGCCCCCTCGGTCTCGAGCAGCACGCCCCGCATCAGCACCCCGCTCCTCGTTCTTCGGCCTGGAGCGGCGCCCCGCGGCGACGGTGCTGCCTCCCGCATCTCCGGGGCCTCCGACAACCTGGTCTGCTCCAGCATCGCTGGCCCCTCCATCGCGCCAGGGCTCGCGAAGCTATGCCTTCTCGCCGCACTCCCGCCGCGGCGCCGCGGGCGGCGGCGGGCTGCGGCTCGAGCCAACCAGTGGGGCGATGTTTGGGGCATACAGGGCCTTCTTGGAACGCCGGAAGCCCGAAAGGGCGCGAGCTCAAATCTTTCAAAAATGACAATGGGCAATCAATGACTGCCTCTTGGGACGTCTTGGGGGCCGCTTGAGCCGGCTTGAAGCCATCTTGAGCGTCTCGGGAAGCGTGCGCGGCGACTCGGCGCCCTGTTAGATCGTCTTGGGAAGGTCTTGAGGCCCAAATTGGTCAAACCCTCTAAATTGCAAGAGAGTGATGCGACAACAGCCCAAGAGCGCGCCCAGGCGCGCCAAGTACTCGGGGCTTCGGGCACCTTAGAGAGCATTCGAAAACTCTACACGGAGGACTCAATGAACTCACTGCCTCGCGGCACGGCTCACATCCTGGGCGCTCCTGAGGCTTGTCGCGTGGCCGTCTTGGAAGCGAGAGGGCCCCGAAACAGGCCAGGGGGTCCCAAGAAGCGCCAACGACGGTCCCAGAGGGCCCCAAAATAATGTTCCAAGACGCCCAAGACAGCCTGAAGACGGCCCAAGAGGACTCCAAGAGGTCCCAGGAGCGCTCCCAAGATGGCCCCAGGAAACCAACATCAATGACCCCCAAGATGGCCCCAGGAGCACCCCCAAGATGTCTCAAGTAGGCCCCAAGATGGCCCCAAGATGGCCCGAGGAGCACCCCCAGGAGGGAACCAACATCAATGATCCTCAAGATGGCCCCAGGAGCACTCCCAAGATGGCCCCAGGAGCAGCCCCACGATGTCTCAATTACATGTAGCTTTCGAAGCTTTTCGGGCTCTCGACGTCTCAAAACGCTGCAGGAGGCCCTCGAGATCGTCCAAAGACGGCCTAAAAGGCCCCCAAGAGGGCCCCAAAACGGCCCGGGAGGGCCCCGTCGCCACTCAATTGGCCCCCCAAGACGGCTCCACGGGGCCCACATAGGGGGAGCTCAAACTTCCATTTCGAGCCAACCCTCCGCCCCAAGATGACCCCCAAGTACGCCAGAAGCCCAAAGAGGCCCGAGCAGGCCCTGGAGATGCCCAAATCAGGCCTTCGGATGCCCCACAGAGGTCCCACAAAGGACCGCCACAATCGCCTCCAAGAGGCCAGAAGGGTCTCTGGCCTACGACCCATGAGGTCTCTGACCTACGACCCAGGCGCGGTGGTGGAATGGGCCGGACGCCACTATATGATTATGGTTATGCATCCGAGAGGAGGGGCCGAGCGGTCATTCCATGTCTCTAGGCGCACGTCCGACGTGAGGCTCCACAATGCGGATTAGTGTTGTTGTTATTGTTGTTGCTACGCTGTTGCTAAATTATTTGTTCTTTGTTGTTGTCGCCGACCCACCCGCGACCCGACCCGCAACCCATCCGCGACCCCCCCACGACCCACCCGCGGCCCACCCGCGACCCGCCGGCGACACACCCGGCCGCGACCCATCCCGCGACCCACGCGCGACCCTCCCGCGACCGGGCCCGCGACCCACCCACGACCCACCCTCGATCCACCCGCGACCCACCCACATTGCTTGAACAATCAAGTCGGCACCTGCGGCGAGGTCATTGTACAGCTTGTAAAAGTTAAGAGCCTGCGGCGGGCAGCTGCAGAGCTTCGTAGACTGCCGACGTCCCCGCTGCCCCCTCACTGTTATCCGCAACTGCGGAGTGTGACGTATGTATTTGAATATGTTGTTACGCAGCGGAAGAAAGGGGGGCCAAACAGTCATTCACTGTCCCTGGGCGCGTGGTTGAAGTGAGGTTCCACAATGCGGAATATTGTTGTAATTGCGTTGTTTGTTGGTTGTTGTTTGTTGTCTATTGTTGTCGTCTAACCCGCATCTTTGCCCGCGACCCACCCGCGACCCAGCAACGCCCCACCCCCAACCCAACCCGCGACCCACCCACGACACTCTCGCGATCCACCCGCGACCCACCCCGCGACCCGCCCGCGACCCACCCGCGACCCACCCGCGACCCACCCGCGACCCGACCCGCGACCCACCCACGACCCACCAATGGCCCACCCGCGACCCACCCCCGACACACCCGGCCGCGACCCTCCCCGCGACCCACGCGCGACCAGGCCCGCGACCCACCCACGACCCACCCCTCGATCCACCCGCGACCCACCCACATTGCCTTAACGATACATGCGGCGTCTGCGGCGGGCTCTTGGTATAACTTGTAAATATTAAGCACCTGCGACGGGCTGCTTCAGAGCCTCGTCAACTGCCGACGTCCCCACCCCCCTCACTCTTATCCGCAACTGCGGGGGGTACGTATATCAGAGTAAGGGCGCCGAGCAGTCTGACTGTGCCTGGGTGCGTGGCTACAGTGTGGTTTCGAGGTGCGGATTATTGTTAGCTGTTGTGTAGTGTTTGCTGTTAGTTGTTTGTTGCTGTGCTGCTGGTGTTGTTACTGCTGCTATTGTTGTTGTGTTGTGTTGCGTGTTGTTTTGTGTGGTGTGTATTGTGTGCTGTTTGATATGCGTTGTGTTGTGTGTTGTTGTGGTTGATGAATTTCCATTTCAAAAGAGTCATGCTTGAAGGGCCCCTGGAGCCACAATGGTTACGGACAGCAGCAAGTGAAACGGAGAAGGGTTCAACAGAAACGCGTTTCACAGAATTGGATTTACAACAAGGGGGGGGTTGTCCGCCGGTGCGCCCGGTGCGACCCCCCCACGAAGGCCAGGGGGGGGTTCGTGCACGGGGCACCGCCGACATGTACGCGTGTATGTGACTGCCACCGTGCCCCTTGGCACGTTGGGGCGTGCTAGAATGCCAAGCGATGTCTGGTAGGGTTTCTGTAATCCGCCAGCCACGCCTCTGCTCACACTGGCTTGCGCGCATCGCCCCCTTTCCCGAGGCCGGCCGCAAACCCTCGCAAAATACGACAGGTCCGTGCTCCCGAGGCCGCAATCTGAACGGGCCCAGACACACACACACACATAAATACACACACAAATCCCATAATTCCCCATCTTATTTTCTAAGTTTCTGTTTTCCCCCCCACTTCCCATATTTTCCTATATTTTCCTTGGAGTCGACGATTCGTTGTGTCTATGTGTTTCTTTCCCTCCTGACAATCCTTGCAACAGAGCGCAGGATGCGCCAAGAGGGCCCCCAGGGCCCCCCCCAAAGGCCCCCCCCAGACTGCCTGCCAGGGCAGCTATCTTTGCGCTCCGCGCTCCATGCTCCACGGAGCGCGAACATCCATGCGCGTTCGTGCCGCCCCTCGCCTTAGGTCGGGCGTGTCCCCCTACAGGGGAATTTTGGATGAAAAACAAAAGATAGCCAACAAATCCTCGTAAGGGTCAATAAATCGTCCCCAGGCCCGACTTAACCCTCGCCCCCCCTCCCCCCTCCAGAACAGGATGAGGGACACGCGCCTCGCTCTCAAATCGCTCCGACCGCGAAGCGCAGAGCGCGACTGACTCGGCACCCTCGTGGTGGCCCTAGGCCTCAGAGGAGGCCAAGGCAACCACAAGACGGCCCCAACGAATTCCATCTGGCGAAGACGAAAGGTGACACGTGTGACGACGTTCCTCTTGCTCCTCGTGTTCCTGCTTCTCGTGTTCCTGCTACACGAGCTCCTGCTCCTCCACATCATCCTCATCATCCTCATCTTCATCCTCCTCATCCTCCTCCTCCTCCGCATCCTCCTCATCATCATCAGCAGCATAATCATCACTACCATCATCATACTTATCACCACCATCATCATCAATGCCATCATCATCAATGCCATTATCAGCATCAGCATCAGCATCAGCATCAGCATCATCATCTGCATCATCATCATCATCATCATCATCATCATCATCATCATCATCATCATCATCATCATCATCATCATCATCATCATCATCATCATCATTACTGTCATCATCAACAGCATCATCATCATAATCATCATCATCATCATTATTATTATTATTAGCATCATCAACAGCATTATCACCCTGATCAATAATTCTTATGGCTCCCTCAAGCCTGGGACACGAGGCGTCACATGTGACGGCCTTCCGTGCCCCCCCGAACAGTCGCCACCCAGAATTCTGGGACGGCACGGTGGCGGGATTTGCCGCAGGCAGCTAGATCCACGCCCCCTGTTGATTCATCACAGGGATGCCTGGCGTGCTGAACTTCTTACGATTTTGGTTTTGGTCCTTTTCCAAAAGAACTCTCCCAGAGGGCTCCGGCGCGTCCCGCCGGGGTCCCGGGAGGATGCCGAAAGATCTTCCAGAGGTGGTTGCAAAAGGTTTTTCCGTTCCAGACGGCTCCAAGATGGCCTAAGATGGCCTCCAAGACCGCCAAGACGGCCTCCAAGACGGCTAAGATGGCCCCAAGATGCCGCCAAGATGGCCCAAGATGCACCCAAGACGGCCTAACATGGCCTCAAAATTGCCCAAAACGGCACAAGAGGCTCCCAAGAGGCCTCCAGGAAGGCCCAAGAAGCCTCCAAGAGGTCCTCCAGGAAGGCCCGACGAGGCCAAAATTATTGATTTTCCTTAGGTTTTTGAAGGATTTTGGCATTTGCGCATTTTCGGCTTTCCGACAGCCCAAGACGGCCCAAGAGGCCACAAAGGTCGCCGCAAGATCGCCCAAGAGGCCTTCAAGATGGTCCGCCGCCCCCTGTCGATTCATCGCAGGGGTGCCTGGCGTGCTGGACCCTCTCGGTTTTGGTTTTGGTTCTTTTTCCAAACAAGAACTTCCCCTGGGGCTCTGGCGCGTCCCGCCGGCCACCCGGAAGACCCGGTTGCCAACGCCAAAAACGGCAATTTCGCTCGGGACATCCTCACAAAATCGCGAAGATGGCCAAAGATGGCCTGCAAGATTCCTCCAAGACGGCCAAGACGGCTAAGATGGCCCCAAGATGCATCCAAGACGGCCCAAGATGCCCTCAATATGGTCTAAGACGGCCCAAAAGGCCCGCAAGAGGCCTCCAAGACGGCCCAAGAGGCCTCCAAGAGTTCCTCCAGGAAGGCCCGACGAGGCCCAAATCCTTGATTTTCCGTAGGTTTTTGAAGGATTTTGGCATTTGCGCCTTTTC